CGGGCTTGGTAAGCAGCCCTATGGTCACGGGATCAAAATTCAAAGATGCTTGGCAACCAGTTCATCCTTACGACGGTCCCTCCACATCCCGGGTTCATGTGAGGTGAGTGCAAGATGCCTGGATGCATGTACGGGAAGTCCTGGACTTCCAACGGTTCGTTTAGTGACCATTTCAAAAGTCACAATGGCACCAAAAACAAGTCACCAGAGGACCATGACTCCCACTTATGACCTTTGTAAGTTCACGGGATCGAAACGCAAGACGCTGGTTTGGACTTACAACGGTCGCTGTGTTCCTCGGGGGAACGCAATCCCTTTTGGCGACCAGAGTCAACTTCATGACCGTTGATCTTGACTTTGATCAACCGTGGTGATTTGCTGTGGACAATGGCGACAAAGGAAGGTTGTAAAACGGGACAAAATCTGCGCAACAGAAGGTCTGTCTTGCTTAACAACACACCCATTTTCGGTCGTATGTTGAGGACTATCTTTTCTAAGTGCTTCAAGTCAGGTTCGAGGCAGCAAGGAAGGTTGTAAAATGGCACAAAACCCTGGAATGAAGCTCTGTCTCGCTTAAGGACAACACAACCATTTTCGGTGGTAAGTTGAGGACTATCTAGCATAAGTCATACGTGGAGGATTATCTGACGTTATCTGGTTCGAGGCAATGCTCCTCCCGGCCGCCAGAGCGGCGCCTCGGTCGGAGGTCTCCCGCAGAGACGCTCTAACCGCTGCGCCTCGGCTCGCTGGGCCGGGCCGGCGCATGCGCGCGACGCGGCCAGCCTTCCGAGTGTGCGGCGTTGCGGCAGCCGAGACAAAGGCGGGCCCCGCGGGAACGTCCGGGCGGGGGAGGGGCGGGCGCGGCCAGGTAGCGCAAAAACGGGGGCGCGGGGGTGGGAAGAAGGGTTGGGAAAACGGGGGCCGCGAGTCCCGAGGGAGGAATGGGGAGAGGGGGACAAAAATCTACGGATCGGGAGCCAGTCTCTCCTCGGCAACCGGGCGCCCTCCGTCTGTGTTCCCAGAATCCTCCGCGGCGGACAGAGCGGGGGTGGGGGATGCCCTTCGGTAACGAGGGTTAAGCCAGTCTACAAGAACTGGGGGTGTTGTTTCCCCTGCAAGACCCGCCCCCCGCCCCCCAAAAGTGCGGGAGGGGGCTCTTGTAGAAAACCTCGAGGGGTCCCCGGGTGCCTTTTTGCGCCGAATCCACCGGGCGCGTCTTGCCCGATTGTGCCCGGCGGCGTGGCCTCTCCCGGAAATCTCCCATTTTTGGCTGGGGACATTTTTTTTCTTCGCCTGGCTTCGCAGGTCCTCGCCTTTGCGTCCGAATCCAGATACCCCCCCCCTTTTTTTCTTTTTCCGGGAGTCCTGCGCTCCTTTGTCCCCCACCTTTTTTGGGGGGAGAGGGTTTCAAGCTTTTAAAGAAAAGGGTTTGTCCTAATGTTTCTTCCAAGGGCGGGGCTGGACTAGAAGACCTCCAAAGTCTCTCCCTGGCTTAGCCTTCTGTAAATGATCTGCCCTGGGAATGTTTTTTTTGTGGGGGGTTGGTCGTTGAGCCGAGGCATCAGTCACATTGATGGATCATCAGCCAAGAAAAGGAGGGTCATATGTAGGGTTTTCCTGAAAAAATACAGATTTGTTTTTTCAGCCTTTTTTTTTCTTCTTGTGTCCATTTAACAAACAGCTCAAAGGTCTAAGTCTCGCCCGGCGGTGCCCTTTGGTTTTTGCTCCGCAATCCTTTCCATTAGCGGGTTGATCTGCGCTAGAAAGAGAGGTAGGTATCATTCGTCTGTGGGCTATTTTTTATATCCTAGGTGATTTCCAGTTTTTCCCCTCCGATAATCCTGTAACGTAGGCTAGATGAGGGAGTGAAGTTAAACTCGGATCTCCCTGGGCCTTTTCTGTCAACATAAGTTGCATGGGGGGAGGGGAGAGAGAGACAAATTCCTTGTGTATCTAATCACACTTGGCTAAATGAAGGTATTGGCAGGGTGTCAAACTGGTGGCCCGCGGACCAGATGTGTCGCATGCAGGCCACCCTTCTATGAAGGGGAAAAAGCATTGCAAAACATCACATGACGGCAACGTGGCGCCGCGAGTTTGACACCCGTGGAGTAACCTGTTCTAGTCTATTAAGCAGAGCATTCGCAACTGCTCTCAAGTCTTTTGCCATTGGCTGTAATGGATGGCCGATGGGAGTTGTAGTCTCCCAGTCTTTGAGAGCATGCCAGTGGTGGGGTGGGGTCAGATAATTAGACTGTGTATTTTCTGAGTGAAGAGGGTTAGAAACTTGATGTATAGTTATGTGGCCATGGTAATATGCCTTTTCTAATGTTTCCTAAACTTTAATGAGAAAATGTCCAGCCATGAGGACTAGAAACTGTCTAAACCAGGGGTCCCACCACCACCATAGAGTCTCCTAGCACAGTGTCCTTTTTCCTAACAGAAAGCCCTATCAATTGTGGAGCC